CACTCACTCACACTCTCACTCACTCACTCACTCACTCTCTCTCTCTCTCTCTCACTCACTCACTCTCTCACTCACTCACACTCACTCACACTCACTCTCACTCACTCTCACTCACACACTCTCACTCACTCACTCTCACTCACACTCTCTCACTCTCACTCTCTCTCTCACTCACTCTCTCTCTCTCACTCACTCACACTCACTCACTCACTCTCACACTCACTCACTCTCTCTCTCTCTCTCTCACACTCACTCTCTCACACACACACTCTCTCACTCACTCTCACTCACTCACACACTCTCACACTCACTCACTCACTCTCTCACACACACACTCTCTCTCACTCACTCACTCTCTCACACACACACTCTCTCACTCACACACACTCTCACACTCACTCACTCACTCACTCACTCACTCACTCACTCACTCACTCACTCACTCACTCACTCACTCACTCACTCACTCACTCACTCACACACACACGGATTACAGAACTTTAGGCAACTAATTAAAGTTAGGAATTCAAAACAATGTAAATCTTCAAATCTGTTTGAACTCATTAACATATATGATAAGGAACATTTGTTTCCCAAAGTTGCACTGAGTTGCCAGATTGTGTTTCTTCACTTGGCGCCGAACAGACACTCGCAAGCAGACGCCGCGTTCAGAGTGTCACCATGACAACAGCGGAACACTCCAGCATCAGGATCAGAACCGTACACTACAGCAGATGTCATCATTTAACCCTGGAAACAAAGCCTGACATATGGCATAATAGTGTGAGAGAACTGATGTTTTGAAGTGGAACAGTTTATTACGCATTCCATGTTTTGTATCATATTTTGATATCTCCAGTAATAAGATGAGATTGAAGTGATCCAAACATATAATGCAGTGATTGAGAGCTGAAGAAATAAAGGCTCCTCAGAAGATGTGAGATGTTCTGGAGGCTTGTGAAGATCACTCCTCCGCTGAGGAACAGTGAAAGTGAAGCTTCTGGAAACAAACGCTCCTCAAAAGATCCTGAGGATCAGATTTGAGACTCTAAAACATGATTGATGGAGAATCAAGTAAAGCTGAGCTGCTTCAGTCCAGTAAGTGTTCATCTGGAGATATTACTGACGTTATTCTGACGCTTACTTGAGAAAAACCAGTCAAGATCTGACAGCAGAAAGACACGTGAAGTGTGTGTGTGTGTGTGTGTTAGGGCATCTAATAGTCTGCTATCATCAGCTATTTCATCTCTTTGTTTTCAAATGACAAGCAACAAACCGCAAATGAACTTGGAGGGAACGCACTGAGCTCATCCTGAAGGATAAGTAATAGTCCTCCTGCTAATGAATTCCATTATCCATCCGTCTGATTACATCTGAAGAGCAGCTTTACTCATGCAAATGAGGCCAGATGAGAGAAAGTCATAAACATCCGTAACTCTAATGAAGCGCTTCATCAGCTCATGTCTCCACCCTCATGCCACTTATTTATTATTCAGCCCAGCCCTTTATCTTCTGATATTAATAAGCGTTCAGCGGCGAGATGATTTACCGCAGATTTGAGAGCATGCTTGTTTGGGGAGGATCCTGGGAGATTTGCTCTATCCGCAGCACGTCTGCTGCGGGCTTTCCCAGGAGAAAAGGATGTATATATTTCTCTGAATCACAGATTGATTTTATGTGAAACTGCTGGCACAAGCACACTCTCTCTCACACACACACTCACTCACTCACTCTCACTCATTTTCTCTCTCTCTCACTCACACTCACTCATTCTCACTCACACTCTCTCTCTCTCTCTCTCTCACTCATTCACACACCGTCATGAATCCGTCCAGCAGGCCCGAGTCCGGTTTGGGTGGAGCCTGCAGTCGCTCCATTGACCATTTCTCGATGATGGATGACACCTGTGGACTCTCCGTGTTCAAGATGCGGAAACCGGTCATATTCACTCCGCTGAAGCGGTACGGCTCCATATCCAGAGCAAACAGGTCCTGTGGACGAACACACGCTTATAATGAATGAAACCGCATGTGCTGCTCACCGAGGCTGCATTTATCTGATCAAAAATACAGTAAAAATAGTGAAATATTATTATAATGTAAAACAGCTGTTTTCTCTGTGAATCTCTGTTAAACTGTAATGTATTTCTGTGATGCGCAGCTGTATTTTCAGCATCATTCCTCCAGTCTTCAGTGTCACATGATCTTCAGAAATCAGTATAATATGCTGATCTGCTGCTCGAGACACATTTCTGATTATTATCAATGTTGACAACATTCATATTTTTGTGGAAACTGTGATACATTTTATTTTTCAGGATTCACAGATGAATAGAAAGTTCAGAAGAACAACATTTAACTGTAAAACAAACTGTAATCTTAGTTTATTAGATATGCACATAGAAAACAGCTGTTTTACATCATAATATTTCACTGTTTTACTGTATTTGTGATCAAATAAATGCAGCTCTAGTGAGCAGAAGAGACTTCCTTCAGAAACA